TTTTGGAATATCTGTGTGGCTATTTCACTTTTCATAGGCAATTTGAGAATTAAGGTCATATAAGTTTATACTACTCATTTTAAGAAATGTTAATCGATGAAGTTAAGTCGATTTTATATATTTTCAGAGAAAAAAATTCCGTCTTCCCTCAGTATTAAATAAATGTTTTATTGTAGTCTTTAAAGAAAGCCAGGAAACAAGCCTGTCTGCTCCTTAGCCAAGCTCTGTTGGTCATATAAGGGCTTGTCAGTAGTATTTGTAAATGTAGTCTTTCTGAGAAGACATCTAAGCAACTAAAAGGAGGTTCATTGTGTGTAAGTGCCTCATGTCTGAAATGAACTCTTGTTTTGATCTTACTAGGCTGAGCTGCTTCTTAACACATTAGATTAAGTTTCAGGGTGAATTCAGTTCAGAATTCCTGAATATTTATCTCTTCTCTCCAGCTAACTAAGCAACACTTAGAGAATAACCATGCAGATAGATGAAAACCCAGTTAACAGTGGCATGCTCCACTGTGCCAAGAGGAATTATAATGCTTGTTTGTACTTCTAGCACTTTATGACTTTTCTTCTACCCACCCCCACCGCCTATGTGCTCTGTTCCAAGTGCAAAAATCTTCTAGTAGGCTTTAACTAAGGAAATTTATGCAAAAATAATTTTCTCAAACACTGAGAGTTGGTCGTTTGCTTTCTTTTTTCTTTTTAGCCCACTGACAAGGAACTGAGAGAGACCAAAGCATTGCTGACAGCTCAGCAGACTGCTCTGGAAATAATTGTCAACATGTGCTGTAATGAAGGTTCGTTACCAGTGTACATTTAGATGCTTTCCCCCTGGGCTGAGAGGACAGCTTCAGTGGGTATTTTCTTAAGTATTCCAGTTCAGTGTGGTTTGCACTCTACCCAGATCCCTCTGATGATGAATGGGAAGAGCTATCTAGCAGTGATGAAAGCGATGCGTTTATGGAGAATTCCTTCAGTGAGTGCGGCGGCCAGCTGCTGTCTCCCCTCTGCCTCTCCCATGAGATTCACACTGCTCTCACCAACTACCTCATCCCAAAGAAGGTAATCTGTTTTCATTCTAGGTTCATCATGGAGCATGGAAAAGGCTTAACAAGCTATTCATTCTGTGTGTAAAAGAAATAAGCCCACAATTCCAGGTTGTAGGTGATGATGGTGAAATCTAGAACATAAAACAGAGCTAACAGTGCTAGAAATAGGCTAAAAGGTTGTCATATCTTTATCAAGCCTTCACTTAGAAATAATATGTTGGAATTTTATAAAGGAATCGTATAAAATGACCACTCTTTAACCTTTGCTTCACTGCCTTTTTTTAATCTAGATTTTTGAGAAAACTGCC